GGGGCATCCCCCATTGTATGCGTAGCGGGCGTCAAAAATGAAAAATCAACTACCGAAAAAGTTTTCTCGTGCCAGATACGACCCCAGAGATCCCCTAAGAGAAATGCCTGTCTGTGATACACAATCCTTCTAACCGCGTCCTAAGCCGCAGGATTTCCCAGCAAGATCAGTGTTCAAAAACCAGAAACTCAGTTTTTTTAGGTGCCTCGAAAGTTCGCGACAATTCTTGGAATTTCGCGCCAAATCCTTTCGTAGTGATTTCAAAGTCCACACTCATAAGGGATGGAAAAGGTAGTGCGTAAGTAATCCACAGTAGATTCAGCGGCCACCGCAGCCTTCCGCGATAACCGGATGGGCGGGGACTCGTGACCACTAGTATATACTTATTGACGCGTTCAGTCTTTACTGTAGTAGAGAGAAGGCACGCTAATGAAGAAAGCGCAACGTATGGGTCTCCAATCACTTCCTGAGCTCATCCGCTTAGCGTGGAATGTGTCATTAATTCAAAATTCTCTAGGTGCCACTGACAGAAAAATGCAAAATTGTTGAAAAAAAACTCGAAACGAACACATTGGTGGTGGAGGTTGAAGTGCTGTGGCTATTAGCACAGCTAGTAGCCGCGCTGCCGCAAGTCGTGTTTCATAGTTGGATCCATCCAACGCTTTTGTACATAAAGTGACCACTGCTTCAAGCTCTGTCGAGTAAAGTGGAGGATAGACTGGTACCAGTGCCGTCACACACTAAATATGAAAAAATACAGTAACTCAACGAAGATCCGGTTGAAAAATCCATGACGAACCTGTAACGCGGCAGCACGTACTGGCATCACCCGATCAGCCAAATGAGCCTTAGCAGCTTTGTAGACATCTTTGTGGAAACTAGCAGCACCAGAGCCAAGCCCAGTGACCATACTTGACAACGTTATTAGTATTTCAGCACGTCCTTGAGACTGGAATGCCAAATTTATACCTATTTAGCACCTTTTGAGAGAGAAGGGAGTTGGTGAATCTAACATTTTTCGTTCGGGCGAATTCAACATCGGCTAAGAGATTGGAGAAGTTATAATCAAAAGAACGAGATCCACCACTCACCCCCATCGCCTACAAGACCCCCTTCAACCGAATAGAGGGAACGGATAACAATATCATAATTTGTCGCACCGCCTGTGGAACTCATATGAATGCAAGCAAAGATAGAACTCCATAGGATAGGAGCTATATCGATGTTTTCCATCCTTTTGGCACCCATATCCAAATGCCAGGCAGTCTCCCTTGATTCGCACGCGGCATCGCTCGCCTTGCCCTCCAGCGTATTGTTCTACGATTGTTTTGACACATACCTACCAAGCAATGCTACCACACCAATTTATCGATACGGGATGGGGGCGGAAGAAGACTTCCATCCTTCTCAGAAAATCCTTCCGTTCAAATCCGACCCCTCTCAGCGATGTCTCCAATCAGCAAGCCAGACATGGCCCCTTCTCAACAACGACTCAAGCAAGAGCATATACCGTTACCAAGACCCGTCCTACGTTGGGGCTCGGCAGCGAAGGGGTCGTATTTCACAGGCAAAAAATTTGGAGGGGGGATCGTATCCCGATTGTAGACAATTTCAATGTTATTTTTTTCCGTTTCACTGCCTCCCACCCCCTTGACGTCAGTCTTTCCGAAGGGAAAACTGGAGAAATCGAACTGGAAAGATTCTTCGGAAAAGTGGTGCAAAAATTAAGACTGCGTTGAGGAAGGTGCTAGGCGCAGGATGAAGGGGGGTGGGGGAGGGGCTGTACCGGAGGGTAAGCTTCCGAGGGGTGAGGCGTATATTGTAAAATGTTTCACCAACAGCAGGATCTTGAGCCGATACCTTTGCAAGACCTCAATACAACCCCATACTAAACCATCACCTTCACCCGAATTCTTCATCCATGGGAACATAAGAAGTCCCCAAGAGCAGTTTTAGCCGATTCCTCTTAACGGGGCTGATCCTTGCAGCTTTTACCATCCCTTCCCAGCCTAATTTTCAAAGCTTCACGACGCAAACTGATCCCTGCTGCAATAGAAAACATGCCCGAGAATGAGGAGCATGAATGATGGCATTCAATAGCCTAATGAGAGTAAAGAATTGATATTCCCGCGAGGCCTAGCGAGGAAGCTAAGTAGAAGCTAACTAGCTTCACCTGTAATACACGACAAAAGTATGCAAAATCGGAGAGTGTGTAGGCTTAGCAGTACGCTTCACAATGCGCTAGTCGCGTCGAATCAAATCCCGGATTGGCACCCGTCCAACCAACCAACTTCTACCCCGGCTTGGGACGGTTGGGGAATACTTCAGTATTGTCTGACGATTAAGGTAAGCATTGCATAGGCCACATCGCATCCAATAAGCTGCTACAATTATGAATGAAAGTATGATGCGCGCCAAGAAGGAATAATCACCTCGCAAAAACTTTTGTTTACCTCTCATTCCCAGTCTCGGAGGCCCCGGGCTAGACCTTAACTGAACACGAAGTACCGGATCTTCTTTGGCAAAAAAAAAATACCTGGAGCGCATGCGTCCGCACGTTTGCCCGCCGCTTCAAATCTGCCTTGCGCAAACATTCTCAGAATCACTTTTTCGTTGAAAGCCTTGATCACACTCGCAACTCATGGCCTCGCTCGTCGATCGCTTTCGCCAGCGTCTGTGGCCTATCACATGGCAGACGTGAGATTAGGCTGACAACATTCAATCGGTGTTACTTGGAGGAGCATTTCGCACTTTCACTAGTTTCTTCTTCTAGTTCCTGTTAAATGACACGTTTCACCGTGATGAAACCTGTAGAGTTTTGTCAAGCATAAGCAACACTTTTGCTACTGTGTTTACCGGAACTCACAGATCTTCGCAGTACACAACGGCAATGATCAGTGGGAACCACAAAATGCCCCCATCAAGCCGAGATGCGCCAAAATCTATCCTCAGCCATGGGAAATTTTTCAAGAGATTACAAGCTCAATCCGTAGAAAACCAGACAATAAAGAACAAATCGCGCCCGAAACTGGTACGAAAACCAAACAGTAAGCTCTCAAAGGAAGTTATACCTCTGCCACTTTTAGCCATTTCACCATTATTGGAAACGTATCGACAAAGCTGGACCCACATCTTCCCATTGTTTCATAGAACGACGCTATACAAGCGAGAGCAGCGCTAAAATCCGAAGTAATGAGCGATTGCTGACGACAACATTACTGCAAACAATCACCGAAAACTCACAGTTTAGCTGGGAGCTGACTCGGAGAGTCATCCTTTATCTTTAGGGTATCATTACACAAATTTAATGTATCACCAAACGTTGAACTATCACCAATCAAATATATTCGAGCCAAACATCTGAAACATTTCGGTTGATCGCACCGCTGTACTAAGGCTGCGTTCATACTTAGCGGCACGTCCACCAGCAAACCACCAGGACGCTAGATCGATATCCATACTTTCCTAGTCCCTCGAGACGCAGATGGTCGCTGGCGAACGCTGGTAGACACTGCCGTTTGCTAGATCGATATCTATACTTTCCGAGCTGACAGACGCTCGAAATGCTGATGGTTGCTGGTGGAAGCTGCCGCAAGGTATGAGCCCAGGCCAAGAATACCGTAGAAAGTCCAACTACCTGGCAAGTAAATATCGTACTGGAGGTCCATTCACAGTTGTCAATCGTGACAATAATTGTTGGACCAACTGAGATTGTATCGATTTTAGGTCAGACTAAAAAAAACAAGGACACAAAGTTTCGAAAATTCGTTGAAAAAAAGGCAAAGCCTGTAAAGGAAGACAAACCCTCTGTGTAACTGGCAATATTCTATCCAAATATCGCAGCCATTCGTAAAGAAATACGGGTTTCTTGGGATCGGGGCACTGCTAAAAAGACAATACATCAAACAACAAATATTTACAATAATACAATTAAGTTTGGGCACCAACGTAGTTAGGGGGGGGGGAGAAGGAGCGCGGAGTGTCTACGTCTCTCGCCCTTCCAATAAAAACTATCAGAGAGCAGACGAAGAGAGCAGCGGCGGATTAGTCGGAAGGAGAACTTAGTAATGGTCCCCACGCCCCTCCTCCCTAACAAAGCTGTGCTAAATTTTTTTCTCATCTAATACAAACTGCGCTATGTTAGCTGGTGGGAGCCATACCCATTCCTGCTCGTCTGCGCACTCTAAACGAGGCAGCATAAAGTGGCAACCTCAGTTTCAAAAAGCACAAATTAGCAGAAAAAGGCCTCGCTCCGCCCTTTTCCGCCGCCCATTGCGTTACTCCTCCGAACGGGTCCTGACCGCTGAAATCGTAGAAATATAATCGGCGGCGAAATTGATTGGACAGGACTAAGCCACATTCCTTTGCAGATCATCTGCGCAATCTTAACGAGGCAACGGTAGCTGTTTTCGGCATCCCACCCTGCCCCTTCTTTTCGAGCGCGCAAATTAACAGAAAATGCGTGGCATTGCCCCGCCCACCGCCCCTCCCTAGCCAACTTTGCTCCGTAAAATCGCATAAGAACGTACATGCTAATTGTACAAGGAATCAATCGAAACATCAAAACGATTCGGCGCGTTAACAGGGACCAGGAGCCAGCGCGAGTATAACTACCTGCAAAACTGTACTGCAACAACTCTGGCAATCTGCGCTCGGGCCAGGCTGGGAATTGAGAAATCGTAGGGACGTAGACAAGGTGCCTGCAACCCCCACCCCGAGCAAGGTTAGCCCTAAGCATTAATAAACACAAGCTCACCCTTAGAGCTTCCTCATTTAGTAGCAAACTGTGAGATTCATCCATCTATTTAGAAAACCTGTACAATCAAAGTTAGTTAAATTACACAAATTCATCAAAATCTCGATAGCCCAAGAGGGTCCGAGAAACGGCAGCACAAAGGACCGCGACAATCAGAGGTAACCCTTTATCATCGACACTATGAAAACGAAAAAGCTTTACATTTACAGAAATCAATAATTATTATCACATAACTCATATCACAATAAAATAACCGTAATAACACCCTACGAAGAGCCTATGTAAGCTACGAGCACCAAAGAGAGAAAGAAAATGGCTGGAAATATGCCGGACTATTTAACCTCTAGGCCTGAGAATTGGAAAAGATGCGGAAGAAGAGACGAAAAGGCAGCGCTCTAACTTGTGGCGCTGTCCGAAGGGAATTGGCATGTTTTGCCGACTTTATCCGCAGACCAAACCATAAATTGGGGCAGCCGCAACCACAACACGCCACTCAGCGAACGTCAATGATCTCGTCGAGGATAAACCGATAAACAGCAGCTTTTCCCAGGAACGAACAAAGGCAGAAACATCAGCGTCAACCTGAAAGATGCTTTCTGAGAACAGAAGCTGGGAAAATTGAATAAAAGTGAAACATGGAGGAAAAAAGGATTCCGAGAAAGAGTTGTAGCAAGACACGTCAGACGCTGGGGATCCCCAGCGAAGGGGATCGTATTTCGTCGCTGGACGAGGGGGGGGGGAGAGAGTCACATTTGTTTTCGCGAAAAATGTTTCCGCTTGACTTTGCTCGGTTTCCCGTTTCACATGCACTTTATATCCCCCCCCCTCAACTCGAGAGCAAGTTCTAGGAGAGCAAAATTGAAATCCCCAGAAAAACGGTTGGAAGCCAAGAGAATTTAGAAAGATGGTAGGTAGGATGAGGAAGGGGGGGGGGGGGTGAAAATAAACTTGATGGAAAAGAAGATTTCAAGGGAGCGTATGAGCAATGCATGCTGTACCTAGCGGCTTCCAGCGAACGAGGAGTCGTGTTTAATCGTTGAAGGTAGGAGGCCGATTTAGCTTCTAAGAAAAATGTTTCCGGTTGTTGACCTCTCTCGGTTTTCCCATTCCACATGCGCTATAACCCCCCCCCCCTCCTCCTTTCTCGAGAGCACATTTTTAGGAGGAACTGGGACTCTGGTGAAAAAACTCCTGAATTGAAATCTCAGGAAAAGTGGTAGGAAGCTGAGAGAATTCAGGAAGATAGTAGGTAGGATGGGCAAGGGAGGGAAGTCGTAGCAGAGGAGGGCATTCTAGGGGTAGCGGGGGGGGGGCGTATTTCGCTCCTTTTTCTCCAGCAACGTGCCTTGTACTCAAGAGCTTAGTTTCGCCTGTTGTGCACTGGTCCAGAGAGAAACATGGATGAAAAACGGATTTTGAGGGTGGGCTGGAGCAGCGCACTTCGTAGTTCGGGACTCCCAGCGAGAAGAAGGTCGAATTCGGTCACTAGAGGGAGGGGGAGAGCCATATTTGCTTTCAAGAAAAATGTTCCTGCCTGTCTTTGTTTCTTTTCCGTGTTACAATGCGCTTGACAATCATCCCACACCTCCCCCCCCCCTCCCCTCCCGCCTCGATGGCAGTTCGTCAGGGCAAAGCTAGAAAACTCTGGAAAAGTGGTAGGGAAGTTAAGAGAATCAGAAAGATGACAGGTAGGATGGGAGATGGGGAACGGGGCGTACCAAGGGGTGGAAGCGCTCAATTTTTCCCCAGTGATAGGACGTGCCTTGTGCTCGGGAGCATAGCTTCTCCCGTGGGGAAACGTAAGGCAGGCAGCAACGGATGTTCAAATGAGGACATTTTTTCCAAATCCAATTATCGGACAGGTCCCAGTGTCGCTGTACCAAAAAACTGGTAGCAAGCCGTTCGCTAATCTTGTTGCACTTAGATTATTCAGTATTATGGGCTTGGTAGAAAACAAATATGAAATACAAAAACCATAAATCCCAACACAATCAATAATTACCACAAGAATGCTAAAATATGGGCAGTGGTCGAACCCCAGGCAAAACAGATAGCGCACTCGCCCGGAAAGCGTGAGGTGCGGTTCGACTCCCGCCTGGGGTTCGACTTTTGCCCATAACTCAGCATTCTTGTGATAACTTTCGGAACGCGAACTGCGGCGTAAAACAGCAGTTATCATCATAAAAAAACAACTTCGTAATCAATAGCATTTCGAGGGGCACCACCGTGATTTGCAAATCAGTACTCATGTTTTTCACGCGTAATAACAACTAACAAGGAGCTTATAGCGCATCCACAGTGAAGCGTAGATGTCAAGTCATAAAATGAAAAATTATTTTGAGAGAAGAAAATAATTCTCCCACCCCCCACTCCAAAGGCAAACCGCAAGCTGTGTACAAGCTTACTGGCCAATCAGTGGACAAAAAAAGAAAAAAACGTCGGAGGCGCTTCAAGTAAGGTGTCGACACTAGACGAGCTTTCAAGGCAACGAGACAGTGCTGCATGAGGGAGAGATCAGGCATGGAAGACGAGAGAAAGAGGTAGAGCAGAAACAAGAGCAAAGTGGCAAACAATGATGCCGCCGATAAATGGAATAACATATGACAAACACTTTCATATACTCGAAATCCCTGAGATCGGGTAGGCGGAGCATTCGAACACTGTAAGGAACTGGTTACTAGTGGAATATTCCAGTCTGGGACAACTGTCATCTTGTTCTGTATTGGACAGAGACACGACAACGATTGTGTCGAGATGAAAATATCGCATCAGAAGCGTAGACGCCTTGAGGGTAAGTTGAAAAATGCGGCCACGCCTACCCGATCTCAGGGATCTCGAGTGTAATCCGCCCAATTAACAAATGATTTATTGAAATTTTCCCTTATCATAACTTTATTCACCTTCATCATTTTACACAGCGCTTGCCACAGACAGAAAGTACATGAAGAGTGCAATTTTCGGACGTTGCAAACTGAGCTTCACCCCACCCCCTTGGAGCTCCAATCATTTCCGAAAGATTCATCTAGAGAGGAGCCATTTCTGGTGGGTGGGGTCACCAGCGAATTCATTAACACCCAGTCCCCTCCTGTAGAGCCGCGTACGAGATAGATCTATGATATTTCCGACAGGATCGCAGAAGGAATTCTACCCATCAGATGATGGCTTTGTTTCGTGCTTTTACATTGTTTTGTCGCAGAATGTGATTTCACCCCCTCAAAAAAAACTATCTATCCATGGTAGTCCTCAATTTTTCCTCCTTCACGCCCTTCAGTTTCCTTGCAAACCCTAGAACATTACCTGGACAATTGAATTGAGCAGATATAAGCTGATGTACGGAAAACATGGTAAATATGGAAACGGGGAGGGGGGGGGGGTTGCATGACTGGAACTGAATATCTTTGGAGCCTACGAATAGAACCGATTGTTCAGAATGACCCTCTAGCCCACAGTCCAACTTCACCTACCTCTCCTACCTAACTCCAGTTCCCTCGAGTTGGGACCATATAAAGAGGAATTAATGGATCACGTTCCCTCATCTTTTAATACGAAGGCAGCTCTACTCAAACAGGACAAAGATTATCCCTCGTCTTGGTTGTTCACATGAGATCCTCTTCTTAAAAGGGATTCCTCGAACTTCAACGTGTACCCCTCCCATTTCGCGTCCTGAGGATAGTATAACAGTACTCGGAGAAGGATGAAAGAATAATGGACACACTTCGGCAAGGAGAGGGGATATTTGGCATTTTCGCTTCAGTAGTTACAAGTCTCTCTCTGGTAAAACTCGTGAACACTTGTGAAGCTGGAGCAAGCGCGTGGAGTCACATGGTAGAACCTGTGAACTCAAGAGAAGGCTCTTTAGTGGATGAGCACGTCGATGAGATGTAGCAAATGTGCAAAATGCCCCCCCCGTCGTCTAGCTGCCCTGAATTACGCGCTGCAAGGTCTTCATAAGGCAGCGAAATGTAACTGCGAAGGCCACCATGACGTCAACAATGTCTTTACCGGAAAGGGAAAAGGACCATTAACCACACGTTCTGAGCCGCTGTCATTCAACAAATCTGGTTCCTGTCATTCAACGATGGAGGGCTAAACATGAGACAGACATTTCTCTCTTTCTACAAAATGAATGATGCCCTGTCAAAGAAAACCCATGAAATGAGAAAACAATGAGCAGCAGACAAATAATGGAGCGGCTTAATATGAGACCTCATTAAAACAGTCCCGAAGCATGTGCACCTCCTAGCCAATAACTGAATTCTTTCCCTTTTCAGCTACTTTCACACTTCAACCTGTTACATTAGAAAAGGACCAAAATAAAGAACAAATTCGTACGCTGCATTCTGAACCTCACTTTTGAAATGCAGTCAAAGTATATGCGGGGCTGAAAGCAGCTTCAAAAGACACATTCTCAGCTGTCCACATGGGCGGAGTCATGCACGCTTGAATAGTATGCCCGCGTTTCAAGATAGCTTATTATCTTACGCAGATCCCGAGAAGACAGACACATCATTGAGGGAGACAATGTCTACATCTGACGCCGCCCATACGATTACTGTGGACTCAGCCAGCAATAACTCTCTCACTTATTCTCTTCACTCGGTGCAACTCCGGCTGAATGGAGTCAATATCATTTACAATGCACATCTACGAGGGGGACTTCCAGCGTATGCAGTAGGAGAGGGGGCGTATTCTTCCGATTGCTGGCTGCTTCCGATTTTTCCTGTTTTAAATTCGCTATAAACCCGCCGCTCGAAGGCATAGTTTCTGGCGAAAACAGTGAGTTTTCGAAAAAACAATTCCGGAAAAGCGACAGGAAGCTGGTAAAGTCGAGAGATAGTAGGTAGGACGACGGACGTAGGAGGAAATTCGAGAGCAGAGATCGTATTTTACAAACATTTTTCCCAGTGCTTCTTCCTGTGCCTAGGAATGGCTTCAAATCATTAATTCAGTCTCATTCGTCACCAAATTAACCCTTTCAATGAATAATGTCTGAGGACCTCCCCTATGGCATCACTGGAGAATGCCAGAATGAGTTTTCAAAAGGA